TATATATATATATATATATATATAGACCAAGTGTTGGATGGAGAGGAAAGTGTTGGTAGAACGGCTGTTCCTTCAGGTCACTGTACTTCTAATTAACATCATGTGGAGAAGCCATTAATCCTAGGTCAATACTCATCCATCATCCCCCCTCCTTCTTACTCTGTATGTGTTGAATGTGTGAAGATATTGCTGTGGCTCTGGGGAAATTATTGAACCAGCAGTGGGGAGAGCTGTCCACTTAGGGGAGCGATCAGAAATCTTCCAATGAGCAAACAGGCAGTGACTCTCATTTTATTTGTGTGTTTGCCAAAAGTTGGACAATGCCACCAGGTGGCAAAGAAGAGGAATGGCTTAAACACTTCAATAGTATCACTATCCATTTAAAACGGCATTAATGCTTCCAACATATATGTATGAGACTGTTTCTTCAGTAGACTAATTTTGTGATGCCCTAAATGTTACGTGGGGCGGCACAATGGCCTCTTGGTTAGCAAGTCTGCCTCACTGTGTGGATATTTCTCTTTAGTTGGTTCTCCTTAAGCTGTGCAGGGGTACCTAATGTGGTGGTCAATGACACACTGTGCACAGATTCGGTGCACTTACACGGGAATTTGACACGTGCCTAATGAAGAGGCTAATAAAAGCAACAATGCAAATTACTGTATAGCTGATGGACACAAATATGTGCTTCACCAAAGTGATGTAACCCTAATGTGTGTGTGAGTATGCGTGCCTGCGTGTGTGCGTGTGTGTATGACAAGGTGCAAGGGACATAGTTCAGGATAACCTCTCACAACACAACTGAAATGCTCCCATACACACTACTGAATCTCTCTCACACCCACCCCTGGAAACATCTGAAATGCACTACTGAAACGATCTCACAGCCACACACACACCACTGAAATGCACATTCACTCAACTGAAACGCTCTTCTAGATATAACTGAAATGATCGCATACAGACCACTGAAATGTGCTCATACACATGACTGAAACTCGCACTCTACATACACTTTTTCACCAACTGAAATGTTCTCACACTTAAATGAAAGGCTCACACATTACTGAAATAATCTCACACATACCACTGAATCAGTCTTAGACTCTATTGAAAAAAAAACATACACTAATTATTTTTTCCCCACTTACATTTTAAACGCTTTCATTTGCGAGTATTTTGATAGAGTTTGTGAGCAACAAAATTAAAAAAAAAAATCTGGTTTGTGTGAGATCCTTTTTGTAGGGTATGGGAGCAGAAAAAAAGTCATTGTAAGCATGAGTACTGTATTTTAGTCGTGTATGAGTAAAATAAAGTCTTGTGTGAGAACATCAGTAGTGTACACGAGTGGGGGTGGGGAAATCTATGTGAGCTCATTTCAGTGGTGTATATGAGAGCATTTCAGTAGTGTGTGAAATTTAATGCTGAATAACATTCCTGCCAACCCGCCATTTGCTCATGTGTGTCAGGTTCGCAGCAGGTCGTGCTGGGCAAAGGAGGCTACATGCGCTCTCCCTCGTGGACACGCTGCAGCAAGGTGGAGATGCCACGAGAGAGGAAGCATCACAGTGACTCAGACACCACAGCAGAGCCCTTCATGAAGCTGGAGAGGCCAAAGCAACCTTGACGTGGCATGTGACAGGGCGTGAAATGAAGCTCAGAGCGGACAGCCAGCACCTGAGTCCCAATGGGCCACTGACTGCGTTTTGTGGTGCTGATGAACACATGAGTTCATGTTGAACTCTGAGCACTTTGCAGTGTTCTAAAAATGTTCCGTACACACACGCACGCACACACACTTCTTCCCTCTCGTCTCATTTCACTCTGAAGATTTGAAACTTTGTGGTGGAGTGACAGACAGGGTAGAAACAGAGCCGACTTAATGCCCCGACAAGAGCCAAGGAAGCGTGTGGTGTGCTGTAATGACAATTGGCTAAATCAATAGTTCATTAGTATCCTTTTGTCTTTGATGAAGTACCGTATTTTCCACACTATAAGGCGCTACGGAGTATGAGGGGCATCTTCAATGAATGGCCTATTTTAAAACTGTTTTCATATATAGGGCGCACCGCATTATAAGGCGCATAGGATGGAAGCTACAAAAGTGGGGCTGCAGTTGCGTTATGCATCCACTAGATGAAGTTATGCAACAGGGAATTCAATACAATAAAGCTTTATTTTTATAGAGCTTTCACAACCGCTGCAGCTGTCACAAAGAGCTTTACAGAACATTTAAAATACTATGTCCAAGAAATGAGAATATTGATCCATATATGAGGCGCATCAGATTATAAGGCTCACTGTCAGCTTTTGAGAAAATGGAATGCTTTTGGGTGCGCCTTAAAGTGTGGAAAATACGGTAGTAGTTTTCTTTATCTTTCAAGGTAATGACTATCTTCTAATTTACTTTGGTCCTCCAAAGTCTAGTCAAAACAATGGAGGAAGGAAAATGTTGAGCTAACGTGAATTTGCATGAATGCCATACACAGTAAAGTGCCAACACCTGTTTCACGCAACAACAAGCAGAAGTGACATCCATGTTTTTAATCAATTTAGCTTCTCTATACCTGGAGCAATGATCATCAATCGTGATGTGACTGTGGGAGGATAAATTAAACAGCTTGAAAACTGTGCTTGGTTTTTCCTTTTTAATTTGTTCCTTTTTATTTCCAAACTCTGACCTATCATTGTTTTGGTACGATGAGACAAAGTATCTACTATGACTAACAGATGACAACAAGATCATTAATGTCCAGATAATGTGGAAATAAGTCTTCATCTTCTAAATTTGACACCTCACAGGATAGAGCATTGTTCAAAAGTCTGCTGAACTCAAATTATTTTAAGAAATACCAAAATATCAAATGAGGCTTCAAAATGCTGTGACCGTGTCCAATGAATACGTGAAACCACATTCAACTGAATCAAATGTCTGTTACTTGATCATTCTTGTGCCTATGCCTCGTTATGTGTTTGAGCAGCGCAAATATCTGCTTGAAAGCCCTGGTAGTTGGAATAAATCCGACCAGATCGTCACAAGGCTTCGACAAGAGGTACTAGCCACCAGCTAGCTTGCGAGCTAAAAGGCTTCCAGGGCTCTTTTCAGCCAGGCTCATCCGCGGAATCTCCTCCTGAATTTAAACAATGGCCTTCAGCTGTTTTATAAACTGTGGCATTTCGGAGATGTATTTCAGATTGTGGGCATAGCTAGCTCGCTAAAATGCATGCTGTCGTGGCAGACTACTAATAATATCACTGGTCAACAGCAAATTTTAATCCGTGATGCAGTTTGTGAATGAGAGCAAAATGTCCAAATGTGATCCTGGGTACCGTATTAGCCCAAATCAGGAAAACAGAAATGGTGAAAACACAAATACTCTATCCCCACATTTGGGTACGACATATTTTCAGCAATTACCTCAACATGTATGTCTTCTGAAAGAAGTCTAAATTTTCTTAATAGAGTCTTTGAGAATTTTGTCATGATGTGGAACTGATCAAGTCTTGAAAGAACTGAGGCCAAATGGAGTTTTCGACTTGGATGCAGTTGCTGTGGTCACTCCTTTACGAAGCATTACACTGGTATCCAAACAAAAATTGAGATCGAGAGAGATTAGTATGTAACTGAAAATATTTTCAAGAATAACATTGTTTATTTGACCATCAATATTTCCCTTATTCAATCAAGGACGTTACGTCTATCAGTACCACACACGATGTCTCAATTACACATTCCTGACTTTATTCCGGATCCAAAATACAACTTGTTTCTTTTGACCCCCTTGCTGAGGTCTTCTCCTCAACGACTGGATTGAGATGACAACACCATTAGTTCGAAATGAACTTTTAGCTAGTGTAATTAAGACTGCGCGGCAACAAAGTGTTCATTAGATTGAGAAGAGGTGCCCAATCAAGCGTCTGATGAGTGTGAATCCGCGTCATTTGCTTAAGGATGAGAAAGTAATTGTGTGAAACTTTTACAATTACTTTTGCAAATACTACAAAGTTACAAAGTGAGTTGGATCCCGTTCCATCAGAATTCATCAGTGAATTTATGCTGCTTTTTTGGTGAGTGACCCAGGACAACATCGGTGTCTCTAATAGCAAATATATTTATTCCGTTCAACTATCATGTTTTGTGTTCTTCAAAGAAATCACTTACTGTAAATCAGCAAGTGACCAACTTCGAAAATTTTTCAAATTCTCAAGATAAACTCCCCGTGAAATATTTCTTACCACAATTTACATGTATATTAATCCTTCGCAGGTTCATTATTTCATTTGCCTTCATGACATCCTAATGCATACCTGTATACATCCTGTACATGCTAACATACGCCACAGACACGTAAGGAGTAATGTTCTTCAAATAAACCCTAAAAAGCTTTTACTCAACCCGAAAATGCAATGGATGCAGTAAACTAGGTCAAACATATAAAAACTTCTGAAATCCTTGATTTTTTTTTTTTTAAATAGAGCACAGCTGCGATGCAGTTCACTTTGTGTGGAAACTCAATTTATTTAACACAACAGAAATCCTCTTTTTGAAAAAAATGTAATCTATCATCACCAGATTACAGTAAAATTCTGATGATTCTGGAATGCATTTGTCGTTATAGGTGGATATTTCCATTTTGTGCTTGCATTGCACTTTCAAATTTTCCATGTAGTGTAGTAAAAACCATCAGAGCTACCTGAAGTGCAAAATCCTCTTTTGAATATGGCTGTCTCACTGACTTTTAAATCTGCTGTCAATAGCGCGTAATCTGTTGTACAGTAGCGCATGAACACGCAATTTAATGCCTGCTATTTGGAATCTTCGTAAAAGATTCTTCATAAACACACATGCAGCACATGTAATCTGTTGGTGCAAACACTCAATTTAGCACGCTGTATTTAGGATCTTTAGCAAATTAGGCCCTAAATGTAGAAATGATGATATGCTACAGGTACGCCATTGGAGAAAAGAAAAAAGAAAAAAGAAAAGAAAGGTGAAGCCTGATTGGAAGATATTACGTAATAGAAAGATAATTCAGTTGGCATTACACTGCATCACCAATATCTGAATTAGATCGTGTAACAATCCTGCTCAGGCTATGAAATTGTGTGCGTGTACTTTAAGGCAATGTGGATTTTGGAATAATATATTTTATAAAATGATGCCATAAAATGACATGACGTTATAGCTTATTTCCTGCACTTGGTTAAAAAAGAGGGAAAAAAAAGTCACAAGGCTACAAATGGCATTCTTCAAATTCCAGCTTGGATTTCAGTGACATCAATAAAACATTGATCACCATTTTTCCTTGCCAAGAGAGTTCACCTGAACTCAAATGGTTGTTTGTCTTGATGCTGGTTCGAATAAACAGCGGATTTTGTTTTGCTCCTTCTGCAAGTGTTTTTTGTCACAGTTCCAGTTCTTCAGGCCTCAGGTCGGGAGGTGTTCTCCTACAGGCCCCCCCGAGTTCTTCCACAAACTCCTCATATGTGGATTTCTCTCGAAAAGGACGCGGCCCCAGTAACTCCACCATGTCAGACTTCTCTAGAATCTCTCTCTCGAGGAGACGTTTTGCCACCTGTGACACATGCGCCAAATTATTAACTCAATCAGCCAAATGTCAAGTAAGCACACCTGGAAAACAGGTCCGCAGACTTCCTGTGCACACTGCAATAACTAGCGTAACAACATGTTGATGAAATGATGGTATGAAGCCAAACTTGCAAAAAAAAAAAAAAAAAAAAAAGGATTTCCTTAAGAATGGTGTCTTCTGACAAAAGTTGAAAACATCTAAATAATTTATCGATAGAATGTTTGGTCTCTCTTGAAGATGGTCTTGTGCAAAGCTCAAGACGTTGTAGATGTAGATCTGTTTCTGCCCAAAAAATGTTGGCATTTCAGCCTTCAAGAACTTTACGTCTCAGTCTGCATATGCAAAATGTAATACCCTGTGGAATAAAACCAGCAGGGTACCCACAGCAGAAAAATGCCAATCGCAATTGTATGCATTCAAAAAAGGGCAAGGAGAGGAGCCAGCTGCAATGCAGGCACTGCACTGAAGATAAAGACGTAAGTTGGCAGCCCTCCAATTGCTTTTGAGGAACGAAACAGACGTCAGCATTGGGGTTAAACGTGGGTGAAGTTCAATATACTCAAATCACACCTGATTTTATGAGCACCAATCTCTGCCTGGTGAACCCATTGTCCTGTTTCGTGCATGGACAAAGAAAGTTAATTTAAGACCATTTACTGTGGCTGAATTTCCCTTTCTTACATATTTAAAAAAAACATATTGTTAAAGTGATATTGGTGCGGATTATTTTAATTAGCATGTTACTATTTTCTACTTTTGTCTGTTTGACGTTCATGCACAATTCAAAAACAAGAAATAACTCCCCAGTTGGCCACCAGTTACCTCGTACTTGATCACTTTATTCACTGAATACTTGTTCTGAAGTAATTATTTGGAGGACGAACTTTGGTCTACTCTATCCATCTCTGGTCCTCGATCGTTAAAAAGAATTCTCACCTTTTCCACCATTGCTTTTTTGTCCATGACGAGCTGGAGCGTTCGCTGGTAGGCGGAGTCAATGAGCAGACGGACCTCCCGGTCGATGAGTTGGGCTGTAGGCTCGCTGAAAGGCTTCTCGGTCACCTTAAGACCCCGCTGAGGGAGCTCAAAAGACACCTGTCCCACCGCTTCACTCATTCCAAACTGTACAACCTGAAGAATGAGGACAACGTGCCAGATTTAGTGAGGCAGTCGTGAGTTGTGTGTGGAAAGATTTCATTTGAATTCTGTACCACGTGTACAGTAGTTATAGCAATATAAACAGCGCTACCGTACAAACAGCACTACTGTCAATCTGAGGTTTAGAATCTTCATTTAGTGTAGCTGCAGAGTGCGAACATCACCTGCGCGTAAGCTGACTGCGTGACCTTCCGAAGGTCATCGTGCGCCCCCGTGGTGATCCGACGAAAGAAAACTTGTTCAGCCACTCGACCGCCAAGCATCATGCACATTCGGTCAAAGAGCTGCTCTTGTGTGAACAGGTGCTGCTCCTTGGGCAGATACTGAGCGTAACCCAGCCCCTTTCCTCTGGGAACAATAGATACCTGAGAAGAGACAATACTCGATGATTATCCGACAGTGACAGACAGTACAGGAAGCCCACCGTACGAAATATTCACAAGAGTGACAAAATGGAACCATAACAAGCCAGACAGAGAGTGGTTGACCTTCAATAGTGGGTCAGCGTGTTCTAGAAACCAGCCAGCAACAGCATGCCCGGCCTCGTGATATGCCACAGTGGTCCGCTCTGGAAGCTGCAGTACCTGAGACTTTTTCTCCAGACCTGACAGCGCAAAAAAAAAAAAAATCCTTCAATAGAACGACGCTCAGTCAAGCACAAACCTCCCCCACTGATGATTAATCAGCTAACAGAAGATTTTGTTTGTTCAGCTGAATGTTAGGCCACCTCATTGATGGCGTAAAACACCAGGAGAGTAAATGTTCTATTCTAGGGGGGAGGTAAGTAACAGCTTCTCAAGTTTTGCATTAAAAAAAAAAAAAACTGTAAAAATACAAAACTGCATATTTGCAACGAAAATATGAATGTAGCAATGTATGCAGATCGGGTAAAAAGTAGGGGTTTTGGCATGAGGTGAACAGCAATAATATTTTTCAAATGAGTCTTCAATGTGATTAATTCCCACTTCCAGTTGAGGTTTACTGTCAAACTAAACAAACACAAATGTACACGTTTTGTATCTAAATAACCACATAACTTTGCCTTAGTCTGCCACCTTTAATGCTAACACATAATATGAAATGCCATAGACGGGATACCAATAGCATCTGTGTCGCAATGCCATAACCCTTTTTAGCACTGGATATTTTAACAAAGAGTAGAGCAACAGATGTAGACAGAGAATATGACGAAATCACATGCATACATTCTTCATCCTCTGCAAAGAACGACTATTATTACTGTGGCTTACCAAGGAGCCGAGTCGAGCTCCTTGAGCAGTATAGCCAAGTCTCTGTTATACTTTTTCTAGGTAGTCAAGCAAGAAGAATCAGCATAATGTCGACTGAATTGAAACAATAACAAAAAAATGGCAAAAATCTTTACATTCTATAGAATAAATAAAGATGTATTTTATTGTATTCATTATTCCGTTACGGTGTGTAAATTCATAGAGTGCTAATTTTCTCGATTAATGGATGTATTTCAATGGGGGGCGGGAGACAATGAGAGACACGAGTGTCTTGAGTCACGAACGTTCATAGAGCAAATTCAACTTGTATCTGAAGGCACCATGGTACAGAGATAGGATACAAATGCGGTTGATAATTCACCTCCAACGACCCTCTCGACCGCCTGCTCAAAGTGCTTAGTGCTGATATGCTGGTTTAGATGGCGTGCTGCTATCAAAGCAGCCTCGTTACAAACATTGGCGATGTCAGCCCCTAAGACACACAAAGAATCATCACACCGATGCCAAATAGTCATTCCCATTTATGAATAGAGGGAGGTAGTGTCTACACATGAAACTGATAAAACGTCTTACCAGTAAAACCTGGAGTTAGTGCGGCTAACTTTCGAGCGAAAGCCTCAACTTGTATCCTTGGGTCCAACTTTAAAGGTCTCAGATGCACCTTAAAGATGGAAGCTCTGCCTTTAATATCTGGCGGGCCTGCAGAGAAATTACAACAGTGAAAAACCAGCAGTAATGCATTTCCAGGAAGCACAAACAACTACAGAAAACAATCATGTGACCCTGGGAGACGATATCAAAAAGCCACTTGACTGACACTTTTTAGATGCACAGCAAGACCACAAGGACTACTGACAATACTGCCATCTAAATTCCTACTCTCCATGGGTCTAATCTTACCCCCCCACCCCCCCCATTTAACTTGCTTGTCTTTGTCAAAGTAACGGGCCTACCCACAACAGTGTAAAATGTAGATCATAAATTAGATCTTAAGATAGGCTTGAAAAGATCAAGAACATGCTCGGCGCGAAAGATAAATGAACACAGCAAGACGGTTGCAGATTATGACATTAAGAGCGAACAGGCGCAAAGAAAGGGAGCAGGCAAATCTAATCGCCTTGAAGCCATTTTCTTTTACATTTACGTGTTGCAAAACTAATTGACGGTGCTATAATGTATAATGAGTCTTGACTGCTGATTTTAGACAGACGTATACAATGTACCAATGTATATGTGGCGATCAAAGCGCCCTGGCCTCATCAGAGCTGGATCCAGGACCTCAGCTCGATTGGTCCCGGCCAAAACGACCACATTGGTGCTGCTCTTGAACCCTGAAATGAGACAAAGCAAATATAACACAAAAAGGTCACAAGAGACCCCAATCAATCAAGAATAGCAACAATCACCATCCGGTTACCATGCATTTCAACCAGTAACTGATTGAGTGTGTTTTCTTGTTCACTCTGGTCCCCAAAGTTTCCTCCGCCCCGCTTTTTGCCCACTGCATCAATTTCATCAATGAAGAGAATGCATGGGGCATTTTTTCGTGCCATGGCAAACGTGTCTCGGATCTGAAATGGGATGATACCAAGATGTAGTCGGTTTATTAGGGGATTTCGGGATTCATCACGACAACAGAAACTCAATTTAATTACATACAGATGGGATGGGATAGGATGTTTCTGTCTCGAATGGCAAATCACAAGACACCGCAGCTGCATTAATTCGGTCATGATGTTTACTGTGACATATTCAGTGGCGGTAATCGTCAGAGTACAGATAATTTCACCATTTGCTTTTTCTCATTTTGAGGCGATTTCTTGACACATAGCATCTAACAGAGCGAGGCCAGTTACAGGTATTACAGCAAACATAATGTCCTACACCAGGTATGTCCAAAATATTTCCTCCAAGGGCTACATTATGAAAAATTGAAGCATGCATGGGACAATTTTAAATTTTTTCAACTTGAATTTATAATTCCATCAAGCAATTACACTCAATCAATTATTTAATATAATAGTTATTTTGGAAAAACTGCTCCATGCCGTCTTTCTGGGAAAAGCGATCAGGCAAATAGTTTTGGATTTTCAAGAGTTATGGGATGGGCTGCGGGCCATGTCTCCCTCTAGAACAGGTCTGCGCCCCTCCAGTGAGCAGATCTCCACATTCAGGAGAAAAACAAGTGCCATCTGTAGCAACATGGTCATCTTTTAAACAATTCACTTGAGAATCATTAATGTGACATGGTCACAATTCAGATCTTGACAGGCATCAGAAAGTGGATGCGGGCCTACACTCTTCTCATCGTGTTGTGGACTGTTTTTAATATATTTTTAGTACATGCCGCATGCCACTAAAGAACGGACAGGGGGCCGCAAATGGTGCATGCGGGGACCAAGAATAATCCTAGATCATAATTGTGAATAAGGCCCTGTGCGCTTAAAATTAAAACATGTAGACATAAAGATGCGACAGACCCTTGCAGCACCCACGCCAACAAATATTTCCTGGAACTCTGAGCCACTGACAGTGATGAAAGGAACCTGGGCTTCTCCCGCGGTGGCCTTAGCAAGCAAGGTCTTCCCTGTTCCAGGTGGACCCGACAATAATGCACCCTGCACCAGGAGGCAGGACATTAACACATCTCACTTTCCTTTAGAACACAACCCAAATTCAATATTCCTACTTTAGGGATCTTGGCTCCGAGTTCCTTGTATTGCTGAGGGTTCTTCAGGAAGTTGACAAACTCCAAAATCTCCAGTTTAGCTTCCTCACAGCCTGCAACATCCTTGAAGCGAACACCGACATCGTCTTTGATGAGCTTGGCTTTGGATTGGCCAATACTGAAGGGGTGTGCTCGTCCTCTCCTCCTGCGGGGTCCCGCCAGCAGCAAGAAGCTGACCAGAAGGAAGGTCGGGAGAACACGATACAAGAGCGTCCTGTGAATGGGCAGACAAGAGGCTGATATAACCACGCCCAATAGGCGAGCGGGGAATCATGGGATTCGAATTCCCACCCGTCACTCTCACTGGTGTAGACGACAGGTACTTTGCAAGTGGAGTCCAAACTCAGTTCCCGGTGAGCCGCTTCCAACTTATGCTCAAATGACTCCACGCTGCCAATATTGAACCACAAATAACTCTGAAACAAAACAAATGCAAACGATCACAGTCTAAGAGCGGAAAGATGATACGAGGAGCGTCCGTGTATTTTTGTTTTGATTTTCAACTTTTCCACAGGGCTAAGTGGAAAGACTTTGCATTGTCTACTTCAGTGCATTGCGCAATTAAATCTTCAGAAATGGCATATTCGTTATTATTATGACTAACCACATCTGATGTGTTAACGCCACGGGCGGGAATCACTTTGACATATTGTTTATTGACGACTTCCAGGTGATCAACCTGCGTAGACAGCAAAATAGGAACAGACTAGAGTTAGTTCTCGCAGCTGAAAGCATCCTTAAGAGGACAAAAAAAAAAAAAAATTGAAGAATTTGCATCTCTTACTACGCCTCTACTCAGGTAGTGATGCACAAAGTCCTTCCAGGAGATCTGGATGCCAGTCTCCCTGAAGTAAAAGTAGAAAAATGCCGAAGCCATGCCAGCTGCACCAATTGCGAGGTTCCGTAGAGCTTTTTCATCCAATGGAAAATGATCCTGTTCGATAATGACATAAAAGCATGTTGGACACAGGAGCTTGACTGGTTTGAAGTCATTCACACAAGCTTTCAAATCTTCATCTGCACCTGAAAACGTGACCACCAGTATGATTCTTTGTCCTCTTTTCCACCTCTTTGTCCTTCACTGCCCTTGTTTTTCATATGCCCTTGCTGCTTTCTAAAAGGTTCTTGCTCCTTGATTTTTATATCTACAGTAGAAAGGAAACACAAAACGGGTCACACATAGAGGAAGAACAGAAACAACAAAAATGTTTCTATTTAGCTTCAAACGTTCCTCACCGCCAACTGATTTGTTGGCGTCAGTGGCCCCATCGCTCTTTGGGAAGAACTTTTCAAACCCTAAATGAAATGCCCAAGGAATACAAAATCGGTGAAAAAAGCCTCACGTGACCGCAAAATACTTCGGCCATTCAATGTACAATTAAAACACCTCTTGGTGGTTTGCCAGAGTTGAGTGAACGAACAAACGGGAATCTGTTTTGGTGAAGTGCTGCACATTTCCTTTGGAGCAGTGATGTCTTCTGCAATAAAGATGGCGGACATGTTAACAATGGCAGCTCTTACTGACTTGTGGAAGGGGAAGTGCCTGCGTTCAGGTACACCATCTGAAGGATAAATAGTGGCTTGATAATGGAACCACAATCCTTGAAGCAAACACTTCTTACTTTTGTGTTAACAAGAGAAATTCTGCTTCAAGTGTTTGCAACAAATACAACAAAATTTGTCAAATCTCGCATCAGTGCACTGCAACGCTCTTCCCAAAGAAGTGTACTTTCTTTCATGAGAGAGACACTTAAGCAGTTACAAATAATTGTCATTAGGGATGCAACGATAGTGCTACATTTTGGTGCCATCGTGGCAAAACTGTAAAAGTGTTCTATGTGAGTGAAATGTATGCCATGTTTAAGAAAAAAATATATGTTTTTTGGTTCTGAACAATATTTGATAATCACAGTTGCAAGGCATCATGGTTTTTGTTGGAATAAATGTGATTCTGTTATCCCATATTTACTCTCTGTGTAACTTTAAAACCTGTTTCAGAGTGATACCTCGCAAATACCTCATATACAATGGGGTAGGTTGATCATGGTAGACTTGTCGGACCGGGAGAGCTCAGGCTGCTCCTGTTCTAGCTTTTAAGACAAAATCTTGTTGTTAAGTGAACGGCTTCTGGTCAAATTAATTGTTGCTTGTGAGAAGATAACATCAAACCCAGGACACTGTGTGAGGGACATCCCAAGCTGTGTATGTGGACCATCGACATCCAGCAGGAGCCGTTTGACGACATCTCAGGAATGAACTGTGTTCTCATTGAAACTCTCCTTTACTGAAACTGTTGTGGAATGTGAAAATACTCCCCACTCCCGTTAGAAGATTGTGTATCAGGGACATCCTTCCAATAAATGCAAGGAGACAAACGCGCACTCTTCATAGTTGCCCCGGAACCTGTAACGGTTTACATTGCAGAGCCAGCTGGAGAGCTGCTTTGAGATTGTGAACCGAGACATGTTTTAGCGCGCTCTCTCTTGCAAGAAAGACAACCATGCTTGCCTCCTGAGTCTTCCTGTTCCTGATGTGTTCTTAGCATCTGATTACCAGCATAAACCTAACAGTTTTACGTATCAGGACTTAGTTGTTGGGGGGATGCGAGTCAGTTTTCTAGCTACCGTTCGCCTTCACTCGGACATCTCTCAAGTGTCATTGCACGCCTGCAAGAGTGAGATCTGGTTCTCTGTGAGGTGTGGAAAACAAATACAGCAGACGCAGAGCTGAATTTCCCCTTGAGGAATTATGGTCTGTATAATAAATAAACTGACCACATTGATTGCGTTTCTGTTTTTGGTCATGCTCTTTCAGCCTCCATTATATTAAAAAATGTTCTGTATGAAAAAAAATCGTTAAATTGTGTTTTCTTATCTGTGTTTACCACGGGGATTTTTGGTTTGTTTTTTTTTAACAAATTATTCATTATTTCTGGAAATTGTATTTCAGGCAAATGGGGGTACTGTACTTTTCACTTCATTTTCTAAAGCCCCCCTCTCTCCCAAAATAAGGTTTTAACGGCATAATCCATAACAAAATGAATAGGAACGTCCCGATACAAATCGGGGTCGATCATGTGATTCAGCTGATCCAGTATTGGGGAAAAAGTAAATTTAATTTTTTCCGAACATTGAAAGGTCACAAAGCTACAAAATAATCCATGCGGGCACATATATTGCCACGTAGAACAGAAGTATCTTAGTTTTATATTTCAAATGTTACCTTTTTTTAAAAGATGCAAGTCGTGTGACGTCACACACAAACAAACAGTTCTCCTGCAAGCAGACGCTGCAGTGCGCTTGCCTTAATAGCTTGTTTGGAGGGAGAAAGAAGCCGAGAGATGCTTTGAAATAAGTCTCATTTGTCTGATATAAAGAAGCCTCCTCGCTAAACGAAACAGACGGGTCCAAACAAAATAACTTCAAATATAAGTTTTACGAGTGTAAATTATTTAGTGACTAGCAAGCTTGTTCCCCATTGGTTGAATTTAACGAGGTCACAACACTAGTGTCGTTTCTAGATGAGAGAAGTCAAGCAGGACCAATACACGTTGAAATGTTCAATATGCGTATTATCAATTTTAGTGCTTAAAAAAATGAGGAAAAATATAGAACTTTGAGTTTACAGTATTTTGAGAGTATAAAAACGGCAATTTGGTGGATTGGTCCATATAATATAAATATATACAACAACATATGACATATACACATTGATGTATGTATATTTCTATATTAATTTGAGAAAAATCGCATGCTCTTTTTTCTTAATGCATTGCCGAGGTATTCGCTGCAACATTATAAAAGTTTGAGTTGAAAACAACCGTTTTTATAAACACACAACTAAGCTTTGAATGAGACGTATCCTTTCAGAACCTAGTTTGCAATTAACACATGTCAAATAGTTAGCGAGCATCGCTGAGTGCAAGTAAACAAAGGAAGCTTCACATACATAGTGTAAATAAACAATGAACATACCAGCTCGAAAACTCTGCCATCGCGAAAAGTTGCTGAAATGGACGTGAAGTCTCGACCCCACGTCCGAACCGATCGTACCCGGTTCCGAAAGCTGCTGACACTGGCAGTGATAAGCCCCATGGTGTCAGCACCTTCGTCTGGGCTTCAATGGGAAACTGTCATAACAGCACGTACACAAACAGCTGTGCTGCGCTGCGCTGTAAATGGGAGCCGGAGCAGGTCCACGAAGTCGCGCGAGATTTGGTTACACAACGAAATGGTGTGATTCGAGATGGGTGTTTTGAACTCCACTGTCCCCCCCACTGCTCTCCGTCCACAAACATTCCACTCTTTGAGAATTCAAACGTTCACAGAATCCGCCGTATTTAAAATCTGTTTTTCTCCTAAAACTATGTTTTCGTCGCCTTACATATATTTTAAATGTACATCCAGTAGACACGTCTTTAGGTATCTTATTTAAACTGCGAAAATGTTTTATTACTGTGTTGTGATTGTTTGTAATCTGCTAGAACGGCAGCGCAATAACATATGTTTCGGATATAAATCTTCCCTAATGTTCGAATTTCAATTTGTGGAGTTTTTCCGCGCTGCTCGAAGAGGCCGTTATGAAGCCCAATTTTGGCGCCCCCTTGTGTTCATACAGCACTCATACCTTATTGGCATTCATTGTTCGTTTCACCTCCTTTCCCTTTCTTTTGGCATTACAGTATTGTTCTGTAAAACCGATGCCGCAGCGTCTGTGAAAGCGCAATATAAATAAAGCCGAGTTGAGAATTGCACAGCTGGTGGTTTTGACCCTCTGATGTCTGCAATAAATAACTATGCCATCATTCCCCCCAAATGACCTCACGCCCACCATCTCGCAGGTCTTCAACAGACGGTGACTGTACAAAGGGGCACACATTCTTCAGACGAACAAAAATGCTTCACATGACATGACGCCAACAGAAACCTTTTGACGTACAATTATTTTTAGTTGGTGGGGAGGGGGAGGTTCATTGCCGCCCTGTGGAGGTTCACATATTGCACACCAGACACCGTCACTGGGCGTTTTCATGTTTTCACCATGCTTGTGTTGGTTTTCTCCAGCTCTCCCTCATACATTTCCAAAACATGCGCGTTTTGTTGAGTAAAGACTCTGAACTCAGTTGTCACCAACATGGTGGCTGCAGGCACAAGGTAGCTCCCAAGGAGTAGCCTGCAGAACTATTCTAAAAATAGCTCACTGATGTGACATTGTGATTTCTGTGGAACGTTGTTGATCATTTGAAATTAACACTTGGAGGGATTTTTGAAATAAACTGTTGCATATCGTTATTTTACTGCCTTGCTAAAGCACTGTTGATATTTGCGAGAAACCATTACCATGATCAGTGTCTTCACTTAGGAGACCGTCCCATTATATATGCAAGGGTTTAACGACCTTGACTGAGCCAACGCACATATTTTACATTAGATTAAATTAAATGTCCTTGTTGCACCCTAAAACAAAATTGTCACAATCTGCCATCTGGTGGCATCTTGGTGCCAAGGAACTATGTTTAAGTGTTAAAAGTTTAATTTACACAGAAGCAGAGTGCTGTCACCATCGTATGGCATCTATAGAAAAAAAACATTTTAGGGAAGTGTCATTTCCTTGTCGATTTTTGCTATTCGGGGCGAGCTTTGGTCTCTTATCTTTTGCAACAAAAAAAAGTGGGTATTTACTGCATATGGAAATAAATGACCTCAACTCAGTTGGCTACCAGATTTACTTTGTGAAAAAACTGGGCCGGTCTTGGTACACAAAAAGCAATTATCGCAATGCTGGAATCGATAGAGAATATTTTTTTTTTACTTTCTGGGAACAATTAAGTGAAATTAGAGAACTTCATTGCTTGAATCATTGCGTTATACAACTCAAATTAAGTATAAATGACGGTTTTCCTCTTGCTTTCTTTCCATTAGAGACTCCCTCTTTAGCCTAAGGCCTCTAGAATGATAGAGGAGGCGATGACTGAACAAATTGTTTTACAGTCTTTTATTCATGCATCACTTGTTTTTTAAATTTTTATTTCGTTTTTTACAACCGAATAGGATTCACTGACACCACTGATGTCCATTGGTTTGAGGGAAAACAAACAGTGCATCATGCTGAAAAATAACACAGCAAAGAGTCATTATTTTAAAACAAATACTAAAATCAACATTTACACATTGTCAAAGGTGTATTCTGACATCCATTGCACAAAATGTGCTGTCGGTATATTATGATTAAAAAACCATAAACACATTGCCAACTGTATTATGACGTTTGGTTAAGAGCTCCTTGTAACCTGACAATCTCATAGGCACAAAATGTGCACAAATTTTCACATATACTGGGTTTGATGCACTCGGGTACATTTCTCTGGAATTAATTCATCATTTGGAATGAAAGTCAACACCGATTTACATGTATCTTTACATAAACACGCACATGTATACCATACTATATATATATGCATTACAATTCAAGTTATACACTGGGGAATGACGGATAAACAACCCTGTAACTTTGAATGTCAAAAATGCATCCATTTTGCTTCATGTTAAGCAGCTGGACCAGCACTGGATCTGTAGCATCTTCATCTTTACATTTCCGTTTGTCATTTGCAGGACTTGTTATGTGACATAAGATTGAGGCTTTGAACACCTGCGTGCAAAGTGCAAGATGATCATGACAGCAACGCAGGAGTTGCTTCCCTACTGGGTTTCCTCTTTGTTGACAACGGTATCCACAGAAGCGTTATCGCAAATTCCTTCATGCATCTTTTGTGTCTTCATCCTGCTTCCGCTCACTCATTCGGGCACACCGTGGGCACGTTGTTGAGTTGTCATAGTAACAATCTCTAAAGAGAGAAAATCACCGGTGATCAATTGAGCATATTGATGGTGTTGTTAGACAAATACAACGAGGGGACAATTATTTCAGCCCGACCTGGTTCAAATAGGCAATTTAAGAATTTAACTTTATGTTACATAATTCAATCCGCCCATCCATCCATTCTCCGACCACTTAAACTCACGAAGGTCACAGGTGTGCTGGAGCCGATCCCAGATGACTTTGGGGGAGAGGCGGTATGCATCACAATTATTGGGACTGTTTAAGGACCTCATGGAACCACGTCAAGCTGTCGGATAATTGAATTTGTCTAGATGCTCTCTTTTTACTCGTTCCGTTTTTCGGAACCACGTCAAGCTGTCGGATAATTGAATTTGTCGAGATGATGCTCTCTTTTTACTCGTTCTGTTTTTGGCTCTTGCCTTGGTTTTTGTTTTCTCAATTTTTTTGGCTCTTGTCTTTGCTTTTGTTCTTCGTTATTCAAGTAGGTAGATGTTGGTGTCTTTAAGTGTATCCACGGTTTGATCTTCATGCGGTTTGGTCTTTCTTGTACTTTTGTGACAAGCTATTTTCGTTGGTGATTTTTCCTTGCATTGTGCAAGCGCTCTTTCAAGTACAAGTTCAAGTCAACTTTATTGTCAAACGTGCTACATGTGCAACATACGGCACAGATGACATTTCATTCCTCTCAACCACAGGAGAGAGGAGCCGCTGCGGGTGCCCGCGCCATCATCAAGAGTTTTTGTTTTCTTCGCATGATTCCTGGCTTGTTGTTCAGCGTCATTATTTGTACTTCAGCCTTGCGACTATTTTTTGTAAATAAATATTTTTTGTTGGATCAACTTTCCTGAGTCTTCGTTTGTAGGGTCCGATTCAATCCGATTCTGTCCGGAACCTTCCGGACGCCCAACACCCACATTGTTTAGCAGGCACGAGGGCGCATCAGTGACAGATTGAAGTTGACAGGAGAATATGGCTCTTACTTATTAGTAGCAGGTAAAGAATTCCCTCAATACAATTGCAGAACAAGCATTTGTTCAAAATGGTCTGACCATTGATGACAAACCTGTGGAAGACGGCTGAGCAGTCATGGCAAACGGAGGTGTGACTGTCAAAAGGAAAGAGGATGTCTCCTTCCTTACACAGCTCGCATACAAAGCCTTTGGCCTGGCAACGCTGCAATGTTCACAAAAAGAAAATGTTACCGCATGCTTCAGGACTGCTTTCCACGTGCATATACACTCACCACCAGCACAAAACTGTATTTCAGCAAAACAAGTGCTCCAACAGTGTCACTCGAAACTGAGCATTATTGACTTTACAAAGGCAATATTTTTGATACAGCCCTTGTATCGGACCTCCTTAGATTCTCCAGGTGTACCGAATATTATTGTTCGACAAAAGGTGAGACAAAGACAGATAATAATTATAGCGAAAGGTGTTATTGTATTTTATGAGCTCTCACATCGCAGTCCAGTTTGATATGTTTTGCGAAGGTAGTGTGGACTTCCGTAAGGGAGCAGCTGAGTCGCCCACTGGAGATGTCAATCAAATCCTGGAGTGAGTACATGTTATCGTTTTCCACAAAGTGCTGGCGGTCTTGAAGCTAGGACCAAAAGACAAAACCAATCATAGGAAGATAGATATATAGCTATAGAGTGATAAAAGGACAGACAGACAGACAGACAGACAGATAGATAGATAGACAGATAGATAGATAGATAGATAGATAGATAGATAGATAGATAGATAGATAAGATTTTTCAGGTTTGTACAAACCCAAATCCAATTAAGTTAGGATGTTGTGTTCAACATAAAAAGAGGACAGCTGTTCTTAACCTGGGTTCGAGCGAACTCCAAGGGTTTGGTGAATCGGTCTCAGGGGTTCGACGGAGCCTCTGCCATGGAGGTTAAGACACAACCTGACTCAACATGTCAATTAGTTATGACGCGCGCACTTGGCCATCACTGGCTGCAGATGATCACATTACATTGCTTGTCCAGTCAGTGCTGCGGGAAATTTAGTTCGCTCAGTAGTCAACGTGTGACTGTCGTGATAGTACGTCATACTTCTTCTTCTTCTTCTTCTCCTTTCGGCACGTCCCTATTCAGGGGTCGCCACAGCGAGTCAGTAATTTCCATCCGCCCCTGTAAACCGTCCTACCAACTCGCATGGTCGCCTTGGCAAAAGTTTTACGCCGGATGCCATTCCTGACGCAACCCTCCCCATTTCTCCGGGCTTGGGACCGGCACTGGGGAACAGTGCACCCCCAGGGGAGGGCACTGCCCCCCAGCGGCTGGGTTCGTGATAGTACGTCATACAATTAAAAAAAAAAACTATACTTCAGCTATGTAATTGTATTT